CAAATGTTCTTCAATAAATACTGAAGAATTTAACTTATTCCTTAATAAATAAGCCTTGTTGCTAGCAACAAGGCTTACGTAACGCCTAGGTAACGGAATTAAATTCAATAATTATATAAACTAATGAAATATTCCCAAGAGAAGCATTCCAACATACTCGTCACTTAATTTCTGTTCTTTTGACATTTTCGTGTCTTGTAATTTTGAAGAACACACAAATGTAAGACGTCTTAGTTCTACTTACGATTGAAATTACTCTGAGATTTGTAAAATAGGATTCTTTTCTCGTTACAAGAGGTCACGTGACAGGAATAATTTCTTTAACATTTTTGATGGTACTCGATTGAGATGTGCGTTGTGTGTTTCTATTTTTGTCGTCAAAGTCAAAAAAGATCACAAAGTAATTTTTACTACTTTTTAACTAAACATATATAATGTATTTTTTTGGATTTTGATTTAACAGTGGTGATCTGGCTGAGATGATTATGAAATAAGAAATATTATGAAAAGACTGTTCAATTGTGAGTTGTGTTTATTAGTTCTGAATGTTTATTTCTTAAGAATGGCAAAAATACTTTTTGTTAAATACTCTTTTTTAAAAGTAATAAAAAACGTTGTTACATTACTTTTAAAACTACCCTTAAAAAGCCCATATAAGTGACTAAATGGGGTTTTTATAAACATGCATATTTTATTAGAGAAAATCCAAAAAAAAACAGAGATTGTGATGTGTGATCCATGTGACGTCATACACTGCACCCGCGCGAAGCCGGGTTGTTTCGCTAGTAAAGTATATTTCAGCACATTTTTTATAATTACTTTACACTCTATATATATGTATATATATATGGATAATTTAATGCCTCATTCTTAGTTTAAGTAAGCTATAAAAAATCAGTCAGTAAACACCCGCGGTTTAATAAAAAGTTCTTACCCGCATAACTCCTCCGACGCTATAAAAACCTTCATGTACATTCAAATAGTAAATTAAGCAGACTTTATTTAATAAAGAATCATAAATATTCAGACTATGAGGTCTACATTACATGGCTTACTCTGTGTATTATGTTAAACACAAACACTGTAAAATTTACTTAAACTTTCTTCTTTTTATTAAGGACAACAAACTAGGAATATATCCTGTGTCGCGGAGGACTTTAAGCAAATACATGAAACAGACACAAAGAAGACTCAGACTCAAAACAACAATTTGTGGATAACACACAATGTTGTTCTATGTAGGATTTAAACAAACAATACTCAGTAGGAAGCAACAAGGTGACCGCTTAAACGACTACGCCATCCGTGTAGTCAAAACTCTTTTTAAGTATCATTTATGGTGATAGGGTTCAGCCCATCATCTGGTTATTTAAATAGATAACGCTAGTTAACTATTCAAAACATTCTGTCATTAATGTCATTCTTTTTCTGTGATTCTCCTATTTTTATTTGGAGTCGGCACAAGAAAGAAATCTGCCTGCCGGCCGCCTGTCTTGCGCTATCATTTTTTGGTAACGTAGTCATTTTCAGATACGACAAATGAAACAGGTAAGGAAAGCGAATAGTGCAGGGAACACTCAGAAAGAAGACACAGGGGTATTCTTTACTCCAGGGTAAATGATAACCTGGATCCCAAATGATAAAATGAAATAGAGATTGTAGTTCTTCGTAGAGAGAGAGGGAGAGAAGAAAGTCGTTATGTGTACGTACTCCAAATGTGTGGCCTTTAACAGCAGAAGCGACCAGGCCAAAGACATCAAATAAAATTTTCTAATTTTTTTTTGTATTTCCATAAAATAATTTCTTATCTAATTTATTACCTCGATTGTCGGGACTTGGTGGAAATACATTATGAAATCAAATGCATTGTGCTTATAATCCACTATTTAATTTTATTTGACCTAACCTGTTTCGACTTATTGCATTATCAAAGGTTACGTACTTACCTTATAAAAGTACAACTTGAGTTTGATTTTTTAATAATTTTTTTATCATAATAGTAAAACTCCAAAACCAGACTCAGAACAACAAATTGTGAATCACACAAACTATTGTCCGATGTGGGGATAGGACCCACAACGCAGTAGGAAGCGGCGAGGTGAACGCTTAATCTTTATGAAGTGAATGAACTGAATTTATTATTCCTTACCTGAATTTATGATGTAAAATCTAATATCGTTTAGTATTAATGTTATGTAATGATCAATATATATTCCTGTTCACTAATATACCAAATTTATTCAAGAACACACTGAACGTAGCATTAACATAATTGTACAAAACATAATATACTACACTACACTAAGAAATCACAAACAATAGCATGAGTCATATTTATAGTAAAATTAAAATAATGTAGTTACGTGACTTGAAACCCTTTCCGAAATAAATAGTTTTACGTAACCATTTTACTCAAAATTCTCGACAAAATAGTTTTCATTTTTCTGTAAGTCAGCCGATTTTATTTCTTCTTATGATCAAAACCTGATAGCAATTTTAGCATTATTGTATTATGTACGTTTTCTGGAGAATTTAATAAACTACAATCGAATTATGGCTTCTGGGCGACGGCACCAATATACATCTATTTGCTAATCTCTTAACGCCCACTCCGGTTCTATTATTGATAGGCTTACGTGTTCCGAGTGTATCCATTATTTAATTAATAATGAAAACAAGCGATGATAGAGTCTATATTCTGCTTGCCGTTTAAATTGTATTCTAAACATTGACGACTACCCGTGCTGAAGGAAAAAGAACTTTTTCAAGTGGCGTTAATGTTGATTTCTGCAATCAAATTTGCCTTGATTAAAGTAACATATTTAATATCTATACAAATAAATAAAATTGAAGTGTCTGTTTATAATGTCAAAGTTATAGGTTTTATTCATGATCAGACGGTTATTTGCACGATACCTATGCCTAAAAACCAGTTTAATTTTTTTGTCTGTCTGTCTGTTTGCTTCGGGTAATCTTTTAAACGGCTGGACCGATTTCGATAATATTTCACTACCAGGTAGCTGTCTACATAAGGAATTATAGGTTATTTTTCCTCTCAGAAAAACTGTTTAAAATTGTACCCGGCCCGGGCGTCGTACCCACTAAGGCAGCGCTTTTCAAATTCCACGTGAACGAAGTCGCGGGTACCAGCTAGTTCTGAGATATACTCTGCCTCTGTGCTAAATTAAATTTTGATCCGTTTAGTCGTTGTGACGTAATTGGGCGACAAACATCCCTTCAGCCAAAACTATCGCATTTATAATAGTAATACATACAAGTTATCACATGTAAGTAATTGCAATAACACTCATTCATGAAGAAAAAAAAGTTGAGGGGAGAGAGGGGGAGGTATTTTGAAGGGAACTCAATGCAATTATAATTTTTTTGGTGGGGCGGGTTGGGGGGGGGTTTTGTATGTGGATGTTATTACATTATTAAAAGTTCTGCTATTCATCGATAGATGGCAAAACTAAAAATTATCACCGCTGTGCCGGTCGGAGTGTTAGGTTATTTTCGTTACGGAATTTCTGGATTCGGTCTCCACGCTCAAGGCCCGCGATAGAAACTATGCAATAGCTTAAAAACATTATAATAAGTAAGTATTAAAAAAAACGGCATTACAGTACGTATGAAAATACATCTGTATTAGAAATAATATTTCCTTAAATCGACGAAGAAAAAGCCCTGATTTTCATCAGATACAGTGCTATAACCGAGGCCTCCCTCTGACCCTTTCAACGGACACATTTCATATCTAAAAGGAGACGATTGGGGTAAACGATACATATCGAACATTTTCCTCTCCTTGGACAATCGTATTGTAAACAAAAGCAGCATTGTAATAGTCTGTTTTTAGAGAATAGATTCGTTGGGTCGTTATGTCCCGTCCGTTGGTGCGGGTAAACGGTTAAGAAGGATTTTCCTCGATTTCTTTTTTTTGCGTCAATGTATATACTAGTATTAACTTTGAATTATTACATCCTGCTTACGAACGGATTTTTGCGGAGCAAACGGGAAATGACCGGTCGTTTTCCATGATAAACATGTTTGAATTTTTTCCACGTACATTAAAGGTGTTGTTTGCGATTCTGTTTTATATATTATGTTGATAAAAGAAAGGTTGTATTATTTTTCAACCTTTTTTGGTTTACGTTAGGACATTTTTAAGAATATAATGTATTGACAGTAAAATAAAACAGGGACAAATAAATACCATTGAACTTTTTTATTCTGTTTCTTCCACTTTTAAAACTTAACTTTTGGAACATTTGATTTTATTTAAAGGAACGTAAACTGATATTATAAAGATATTTTCAACTGTAATAGGTCTATATTTAAACAAAGCCGAGATTTCTGAAGCCCTATTAGTACTCGTATATTACAGTCTGTGGATTGCTTTCTATTCAGAAATGTTTAAGCGTACGAATTTGTTTAGACATCGTTTTGTTTTTTTTCCGTATGATAATAAAAATAATAATTTAATATGAAAAAAAACCTGTTGCTGTCATAAAGCGTGTCATTTTTGTAATTTAAATTATAATTTTCATTTTAAGCCAACAATTATTTTAACAAGTCTTTTTATACTGGCTTGTATCAACTTATTTACAATAATTTATATTATGTCGGTATATATGTAGGTCGTAATGATATAAATGTTTTAATTTTTATCATTCGTACATTACTTCTGCTTCGTCATTCCCTATCAGGTAATCAAATGTTTTATCATGTTCTTTTTCTTTGTTTCAGATACAGTTCAGACATCTGGAGAATAAAAAACAGTTGATTGTGAATTATAATCAAGTAATATGATAACATGACGAAATATGCTAAACAAATGCTGTAGCGCAAAGACTAAATACTGCGATTCGAGCATGTTCCACCATGCACAAAAATGTGGACTTAGTAAAAACCCAGCTCAACATATTGTGTTCTTCAACATTTACTTTACGCTTGTTGTGATATGTCTTTCTATAAATATAGTGAACTCTAATACTGCAAATATGAACAGAAATTTCAATACAAAAAGTGTAAAATATATAGGATCTAAACAGAATGATGCACCCGATACTAATTACGAAGATCATGATACATCACACGCAGACGTCAATTTCGATACGAACCCTTATTACAATAGTGAAAGTTTTCTACATTTAAATACAAAATTTTACAAAAATGAAAATAGCGCTTACAGTAACTATGAAGACTATAAAAAATACTATCTCAATCCTTCTAATCCAATCCCTCAATCTAATGTTAAGTTTAAAATAAGTAGTAGAATAGTGCAGACTAAATATGGGAAATTACAGGGAATAGTTTTGGCTATGGACGAGCACAGATATTTGAGTCCGCTTGAGGTTTTCTTGGGCGTACCTTATGCGACACCGCCAGTGGGATCCAACAGGTGAGATATTTAAGAATTATTTTGCTGTATTAATTTGTTACCTAGAAAAAAGCTGTTTTCATCAAATTGCCTGTGTTCAATAATGGTGGAAACGCAAGCTAATGTCAGTAACGTTTATCAGATAGGAACTATATTTAAACTGAACGTTTAGATCCAATCGAACTACGCTTATTGGGCTCTCGTGTAATATGAAGGCAGCTAAGAGAGTTGTGCCTGCAACCAGTATGCGTTCCAGCAACAACATGTACTTGTCATGCCTGTTCGTGATAACATATAAATTATTATGACAGGACAGCTATCTTGACATGGCTCGAAGAAAACAACATTCTTGTCCTTAAAAGAAACAGCCCTGATCTGAACAACTCAGAAAAAGGAGAATTTAGACATTACATAAATCTAAAATTTAATTTAAATAATATATTCATTGTAATGGTATTGTATGGTGTAAGTGAGTTTTGTAGATAACAAAGGGACTGAAGAGTAGTTGGAAAATATTTAGCTACTACTACGTTTTTGTTTGTTTGAGTTTGAATTCAAACAGCTAGCTTAATAAAAAGCTTTTGAATTAATTTCACAAATCCACGAATGTTAGAAGTATTAATTTAGGTTCTGCCACTTTCCACATATCCCTCTAGATTTTTGGACGCCATAATTTCCAGTTTTTCCAGAGCGCCGAGGGAGAACTTTTATTGCTTAACTAGCTGACCCGGCAGACTTCGTACTGCCTCAATTGATAAATAAAAGACTTAAACTTTTGTATAAAATAAACAAACAAAAGGAATCCTTTTTTTATGAAAACAATTCAAAAATGCTCGAAATTAAAAAAAAATCGAGCATTTTCATATTTATTCACATTTTAAACCTTCTCTGGACTTTCACAAATAATTCAAGACCAAAATTAGCCAAATCGGTCCAGCCGTTCTCGAGTTTTAGCGAGACTAACGAACAGCAATTAATTTTTATATATATAAGAGATATTTTCCGGTTTTGCAACTATACCGGTAAAAAAATCACTTCTTTTTTATATGTATATGACTATAATTTAAGAAAAACCTGGTACACGACTAGTAGTGAATCCATTATAGTCTGATATAGAATTTCTGACTATGATAATGGATTCGCTACTATTTCAATACTAGACGTACACACTCACTTTTTTTTTTCGATCCTAAATAATTGCCGATATAGTAAGACTATTCAGTATTTTTAGGTTCAGCCCTACAAGAACTCCCTCCCCATGGGATGGCGTGCGTGTGTCCGATAGACCAGGTCCTGCTTGCCCGCAGAAACTACCAGACGTCGATGACGAAAGGACCATATTAGAAAAAATGCCTAAAGGCAGACTAGAATATTTGAAAAGACTGATTCCCTATCTTAAGAATCAAAGCGAAGATTGTCTATATTTAAACATTTTTGCTCCATTGCAAAGTGAGTATGATACAAACTATTGATTTTTATTATTAACTTGTTAGAGCTATTTAATTTGTGTTCGTAAAGCATATTTTATTATATATAAATATACGAGTATATTTATTTCATTTATTTGGACTACCAACAAGAACATACACCTTAAAAGTAAGATATACAATGGCAGTGATATACAAGCATTAGTGCTGCCTTAATTACAGGTTGCCACGGAAAGCATAATAATAAAGGCAGAAAAAATGCAAACCATTCCTTGCTTATGTTTTCTTATAAAGTCTGTAAATCATCTGTTACCATTAGTGTTTTCCTAACAAAATTATTTATATGATAATAAAAAGATATATCTTTTGTTTTAAGCAATATCATTATTTCAGAGAATAACAAGATCTGTAATTAATTGTACCAAGGACGAATTTGTATCTTTTATTTTATTTAAGGTCTTTAGATATTCTGTTTGCTCTTAACATTTACTGTGATATTTTATATGAACTTTCTTTAGAACAGTAACTTATCTGAAGACAAGTTAATGAAGCTAAAATCCTATCCAATATTAAGTATATGAAAGATGTTTTATTCTATTCATAATAACGCAAATGATTGACATAATATTTAGATTTATGCGGTGCCAGATATACAACGAGCATCTCACCTAAATGCCAACCAACATGCTATAAAGGAGCGTGTTTAGTAAGATTCTATACGAGTCGTTTTCAAATGAGAATGTAATTCGTAAAGTTTTAACGTTAAATCTGGGCTCAACAGACAAATCCTAGCGAGATTTATCGGATATCAATTTATTTAAATGGATTCCATCGCATTTTGATTTCAGTAAATAAAATTTCTTGGAATCTTAGAAGAGATATTCAAGTTTTTGCGATTATCTTTAACAATCAACGTAATTTTTCGATGGGAGGGCCTTTTGGGCGACTGGTTAGTAACACTAACCGTTGAGATCAAGCGACAAAATCTGAGCACATTTTTTTAGGTTTCGGTTTAATTTATTAACAAGATTTATAAATAATAATCCATTCCGTTCCGTGGTATGTATGTATATATATGTATATCACTATTCATCCCCTGGGTGTCGTATGAGCCAACTAAGGCAGCAAACAGGCAAACAGCACTGCAAAGAAAAGGAAAACTTGAAACAAGCCAACCCGTCTAGCCAGCGTGGTATAGTCAAATATAGGTAAAGCCAAAACCTTATTTCTAAGGAGAGGCCAGAGGCCTTTATCCAGCAGTGGACTATTAAAAACTTTTCATGATGATGATAAATCATATTTAGTATATAAATAACTTTACCAGTAAGCTGATTACCGGAGTATCTGCCATGTTTGGGACTAGACAGCCGTGTAATGTTTCTTATGTTATTATTATAATTTTCTGTTTGTTATCATAGTATTCAGAAAAGATTTAAATTTTATTTAGTTTTCTGAAATCTTTCTGATTTTTTTAAAAGTACATTTGTCTTTTGATTTTTAGTGGACGAAACCAAATTAGCACTGCCAGTGCTGGTATACATCCACGGCGAGAGCTACTCTTGGAGTTCGAGTCATCCATACGATGGCAGTGTATTAGCCAGCTATACGGATCTTATCGTGGTCACTTTGAATTTCAGACTTGGCGTTCTTGGTGAGTGGTATTTGAAACTACATCTTATTATGTTAATTATTTAAATATAGACTGGTCTGTTGGTTAGTGATCTTGGGTGCTAAGTCAGAGGTCATGGGTTCGTTTTTCACCCAGGACAAATAATTGTGTAATGCCCATTTGTTCTGTGCCTATGTAATTTATTTAGAATACTCATATATTTAGTTTCTTTTTATCGGTATTCAGGTTATAACGGTAACCGAAATACCGACAAACTTATTTATATTGCATATATTTGGGGTAATCTGTTTTATGAATTTTATGAAATAGGCTCTGCCTAGCTGGAGATGAAACAACCTTGTGTGAGATGTGTCAGATTCATATTATTTAATAAAATAAAACTACTTTGACTAACGTTGAATTTGTTGTAAATGTATATAAAATATGGTTAAAACAATACCGTTAACAAAATATAGAGAAAACCTTGAAAAGTTAATAAAGTATTATTTAAAAGAGACCTGCCGTTGAATAGTACTTGACTGGATGACATATATTATTTATACATGGTAAAAAACAAACCTGGTGGGAAGATAGAAGCAAATGCTTTGTTAGTCAATATATAGTGTACAATATCTAAATTATGGAGCCAATTCACAGATTCCAAGGCTCTGAAAGTAGGCAACGCACTTGTGACTTTTGAGTTGTCCATGGGCGGCGGTGGTTGCTTACCATCAAAAAGAGCAAATCAATCCAGTACTTTTATCGATATCCACACAGTCTTACTTAGTAGGTTCCGATTACGATAAACGTACGAACTACCCATATTTAAAATTTGTTAGTTTCCTTTTTTCCATAAAAAAGTATCAAAACAGTGCATATTGTATTTTCCTATAAGTATTTGTTACACTTTGCTTAATATTATACGTTCATGTAATGTTGGTAGCATGTAAGCGTATAAACAAATGAAGGCAACGCATAAATAAGTAAAAAAAATGTGATGGATCTGATGTACTGGTCTCAATAGAACATATGCCTCTCGGGAATTGAATTTTTTACCCACTAAAAAGTTGATTAAATTTTGGAAAAAGTAATAGTCGGTAGGTGAAAGGTCTGGTGAGTATGGCGGATGAGGGAGAGCTTCCAACCCCAGCTCTTGCAGCTTGGAGACTGTCTGTTGCGCAGTATGGGGTAGCACGTTGTCGTGAAGGAGCAGTGGGGACGACCGATTGACCAAAGCTGGTTGCAGATGTTACCACCAGACCTTGCACCTACCGACTATTACTTTTTCCAAAATTTAGACAACTTTTTAGTGGGTAAAAAATTCAATTCCCGAGAGGCAGTATAAAATGCCTTTGAAGAGTTTGTTGCCTACCGTCCAGCTGATTTTTACAAGAAGGGCATCAATAAACTGCCAATGCGTTGGCAGAGATGCGTCGATTGCATGGGTCATTACTTCGAATAACAGAAATGAAAAAGTTAAAAAAAATAAGTACTTTCACTTATTGCATACAAAACAGCAATTTCATAGGTAAAGACCTATTATTTGTAATCTCAGACAACGTTGTTTGAGCTCCTATATTTGCTGTAACTTTATTTAAGTATCACTAGCCAGAGTCATCACCTCGAATATTGTTGCAATTGTATTCGTGGTGGGACCCATGGAGGATAGCATAATCGTAACTAGTTTTAACTAACAATTGCAAAAGTGAGTTGGGTGGTTTTACGTCTTAACTATTAAAATGTTCTTTAATCTTTGCACACATAATCACAACGTTATAGCAAATGAAATAGTTCGACGGGCCTGTTGGTTTAATGGTTAGTGACCCTGACTGCTAAACCGGAGGTCGTGGGTTCGATTCCTACCCAAGACAAATATTGTGTGATGAGCACGGTAAGTTTTTCTGTGTCTGGGTGGAATTTATCTATAGTATATCAGTAGTCTGGTTACCATAGTACAGGCTCTGCCTAGTTTGGCATCAGACGGCCGTGTGTGAGATGTGTGAGATATATTATTATTATATTAAAGTTATCACCCATAAAACAATAACATTTCGAGGGATAGATAAAAAAAACCTTTTACGCGAACAGAGCCGTGGATAAAATCGGCAATTTCTTTTGAAATTTAAAGTTACAAAGAAATCATCAACAAAATGAATTATTCACAACCGACCTTTTTACTGAAAAACTTAACTTGTATTAGACTGGCCATAATTTCCCACAAAAACCGCGGCCCTTGCTACGAACACGCTTAATAGATACCGCAAAACTGTACATTTAAGGCAGAATTATCCTTAGAAAGCAAAATGGTGCCAAAACAGATTTGATTTTGTCATTGAAAACAATTGAAAATAGAGATAGATGCTTAAAACTTGTTTAACCTATGCCGTATTCCTCTTGGCTTTCGGTTCAACCATTAAACGAAAACAATCAAATTAAGAAACACTCAAACAAATCAAGTCTACATAATTTAAGAATTCAACACAAAGTTTAAATACTTCTTCATTTGAATAAGTGAATTAAAGGAACGTCATAAACTCAACGTCTTATTTCACAAAATACTTGAAAGTTCAAAGCCCGGTCGTAGGAAAGTTGAAAGAATTCTTGAAATATATATAATCAAGTTTTATTTCCATCCTATTCTTTGTGAAATAAATTTATAGTCTTGACTTTTTTCCTTTGGACATTTATAGGAATCCAATCGGACTAATTAATGATAACTATCGTCATTTAAAAAAAAACTACCTTTTTAACAAAACATGTGATAAGTCTAGTATTCAAAAGTACACAGTTTTAAAAAGGACAAAAAATTTAGTCAACTGTCAATGGTAGATGACACTAAACCGAAATGACCCACAAATACTTAAGATTCTTTTTTTAAAAAGACAACTCCCGCAGTAGCAATATTTGATGACGCAATGATCTTAGACTCAGAATAATGGTCTGAATACACTCTTTCAGTATTCGTTACGATGCCTCTTATACCGTGTATATTATAAAGTACAGTTCTCATTGTAATCTAATTAAATCAATTAACTAAATTGCTTGTAGGATTTCTGAATGCAAATCCAACACCGCAGCAAAAGGCCCGAGTAGCCAATTATGGTCTAATGGATCAAATAGCAGCATTGCACTGGGTCCAGCAGAACATAGCTCTATTTGGAGGCGACCCAACCAACATAACACTAATGGGACATGGATCTGGAGCAGCCTGCATTAATTTCTTAATGATATCGCCTACAGTTATGCCTGGTGAGTTTGTTATTATGACAATGTGTGTGTGTTTTTAATATAGATTTGAGATATGTTTGTCTATAATTATTTAATAAAAATTTGGAGAATAAGAATAAAAAGCAATTGGCGAGGGGCAAAAATTGACACAAAAAAAAACAGATAAATACCAAATACTTTGAAGAAGAAAATAAATGAAATAATTGCTAGAAAAACAAAATAAATTTAAACTATATAACCAAAGTATTTGTTCGGAAAGCAGTTATGAATCAAAATTGATAACAAAGTGGAACTGATAGATTCACACTTTTTAATGCTTAAAAACTCAAGTATAACAAATTTTGATACATATCACATTTATATCATGATTAACTTTTAAAAGATAAGATTTTTATCGAGTCTAATACGTCTAATACCCACCACCATGTTTGCTGGTAATCAAGGGTTATTTATCCTTAAATTTTCACCCGTCATCCAAATTAAAATGAAACGAATCTAAATAGAATTAATGGATTTAAAAGAAAAACTAAATTCTAATCATATCATCAATCATAACATAGAGACAGAAAAAACAATACTGAGTTGAGAACCTTTAAATAGCGTATTCCTAAATACAACCTGAGTAAGCAAAAGCCAGTAAAACTATTTCATTTATAAATGAAATATTTCATAACAATAACATTTTCTAGGATCTGTTATCTTTACGATAATGAGGGTATGAATATTCAGGCCAGAATATATCAATGTCGAACGATATGTAATTAAAAGCAGCTTCATACAATTTTATACTGAAATTTAGTAAACTTTCCGTGGGGAGCTGCGGTAAAATAGATAAAGTCGTTTATCTTGGACTGAAGACTGTTTACCTTGGCAAGGTTTTATGAGATGTACAGAAAACAAGAATATTATTTGTAACCTGAAATTGAAAGTTTGTTGTGCAAAAACACCGACACGTCAAGTAATGTTGCCACTTATTATTTATATTTTATTCTACACATTTTAATGTTTTCAGGTTTGTTCCATAGAGCAATTCTGCTGTCAGGCTCGGCATTAAGCTCTTGGGCAATAGTTGATGATCCCGTATACTACTCACTAAAACTAGCTAAACAGCTCAATTGTACTATACCAGAAGACCTCACAAAAGATCATGAAATTATTGTTGATTGTCTTAGAGAAGCTACTATAGAAGAACTACTATCAGCAGACATATCCCCACCAAACTTTTTGACTGCTTTTGGACCATCAGTAGACGGTGTAGTTATAAAAACAGATTTCGCCAAAGACTTTTTAACTATGTATTCAACGGGGGATTTCCCTAGCTTTGGACCCCTGAATAACATGAATGTTAACCTAAACGTCCATAGAAAGAGAAGTGATAGTGGAAGACGTCTGTTTCAAAACAAATATGATTTATTGTTCGGAGTTGTCACGAGTGAAGCATTATGGAAGTTTTCAGCTAATGATATTCAGAATGGTATTGAGCCGGATAAAAGAGATAGAATGTTGAGGTAAGATTATGAGGTACAGTTTAATTATATCTCCCTACCAACACAGTAACTTGCAGATTGGCAATATTTGAATCCTGCCTAATAAAATAAATTGGTATTACCGTACTAATAATAATAAACCTACCTAAAGTGATATGGTATATTTTACGTTATATTGGTAGTGTACTTAAAACCTTTGCTTTTTTTGCAGAACCTACGTCAGAAATTCATATACGTATCACCTGAGCGAAATATTTTACACCATCGTCAACGAATACACCGATTGGGAAAGAACGGTAGAGGTTTGTTTTACTATAAACGTAGAAAAGTGTTGAATTTTTTTTCTTATTCGTAAATATTTTCCTTGTAGCAAATGTTTGGTATGTACTTTAATAAATCTGTAAGATGGCTTTATTTATTTTGCTCTTTTGTTAAAACTATTACTCCAAAATCTTGAAACGTCATCTAGACGCTACTATTAAATGTTATCTACTAAGTAATTAATCCCGGGTTGATTGTCTACTTTTAGAGTTTATTATGATTGTATGTCTAGGCTAATGTTCTGACAGCTTACTCACTGTTACAGTCTACATCTTAGGTTGATTGAAACAGAGTTGTTTCAGCGCCTAGCGCCTGTGCATTTGGTGTGTAGAAACAGCTACTAATCGTAACGATTTCTAAATTAAACTGTTAAAGGATATAGAATACAAGTTATATTTTATCTTATTATGATTCTACTACTTGAGCGTTGCAATATTACAGTACTTAATGTAGAATATCATTAATTACACCAATAAAACCGTTTTGAAACGAAGTTCCTTATCGCGCGCTGCGAAAGGGGGCTAGACGGAAAAAATTAAGACGAAAAGTTGTAACGACACTTTTTGCTATAGTAAGCTATTATAAGCCGTGCGGCGTGCGCATGTTTCTCTGTCTGTCTCTCTCTCTCTCTTATAGAAAGCAAGCCAGATATTTTCGTTACGTCTTTCTATTTCGCATTGAACAGTGTGGTGTCGCGACGATTATTTTTGTTGATTATATACAGGTTTTTTGTACATAATAAATAATAAAAAAATAATAAAAAATAATAATAATTACAATTCCTTTACTAATTAATCGAAAGGAACTTCTTTCCATCCGGGTGTCCCTTGACACCTCTCAAGTTTTTTTCTATGCTAATAAGAGAGAGATTTAGAATAGAATGTAAAGATATTATTGAAAATGATGAAGGAATTTAATTTGACTATGCTTTTACTAGGTTACTTTTTTCCAGAATCCAATAAACACAAGAGATGCAGCAGTTGCGGCATTATCAGACGCACAGTATGTAGCACCATTAGTCCAAAGTGGTGACTTGCTTAGCGGAGGACCAAAGCCCGTTCTGACAGATGAAGATGAACCTCGCAGACCGACGAAAACTTACTTCTATGTGTTCGATTATCAGACTAAAGATGGAGTTTATCCTCAAGTAAGTGCCTTTCAGAACAGCCAAAAATTCAACATCCAGAAACTAAAGTGGGATTTTTAAAAATTGCTTTAGTGTTGATATAATTAAAGTCTTAGTTACCAAATCGTCCATCAAATTAAAAATTATCCTAGAAAAGACACATTGTGTTAGTTGTTGTCATTTAAAATGCCCAGATCCTATAAAAAATCTAGACAAAATCAAAGAAATGTTTACTTTAAATTTATACTTCACAAAACTTTCGTGACCTCAAAAGCCATTTCTTTACACTATAACATAAAGTGATTCCATCCCAATAGTGCGGACTACATCACATGGTTTCTTTGATATCAAACTAATAGTTTATACACGCATTACGACAATTATTTAATCTTGATTGTTTCTGGTTACTAATTCTCTCTGTCTTAGACGAGAGATAGACCTGTACATATCTTTTGAAAACCCCATGCAAAATACAACCGATCTACCTTCTGTAACCCATTACCTAAGTGATAAATTGCGTCCGCCGTAACTAGCAGCTTCTATACTTGTTTTACAGATCTTTTTACCTCATACCTGTTGGTTTATGGTTTCAAAGATCTTCCACCTCATAGGTAAAACGAATCTACATTGCCGCCTATTGTCACCTATTATCACGTGTTAGATCATTCCTCAAAGACTACATCTGTGCCAGTGTTGATGATATCTTATAGACGGACGTTAAGTGGACGGAGTAAAGTGTTCCAAAATGAAAATCAAATAAATTTTTTAGTTGTTGACTCTTGAAAAATTTAGTAATATGAGTAAAACTTGATGCATATTGTTTGTAAACGATAGATAAATGTATAACATCTCAATATCATGCTACATAAAGTACAAACAACATACAATAATAACAATCTCTAGATGTATCAACCAATGAGATTACGAAAATCCAATTCCCTACACAACTTGTTTTATCTATACCATCAGCATTATATTTCAAATAAGTGCTTTAGAGACATTGACAGTGTATAAGAAAACATCTGTTTGTTATTGGACCTGAATTATTTATAAGACGGGGTTTCATGGAATGTCTGACCTGGTTAGAGTGACATCTTTTTTATTTATTGTCACAAAGGAATATGCTATATGTACAAGTCAAAATAAGTTTAGACGTTGGTTCATAAACAATGCAGGAGTGTTAGACTAGTAACTATAGTTTTGAATGTCAGTTTGTCCTTCAGTTTTGACACAAATTGATATCGTGAAAGTTTAGACAGATGCGATTACAATAATAGAAACGGAAGATTGACATATTCTGTCAATATAATAATGTACATTATTTGAGTAGTCATGTCATGTAAGCAGTACGTCTTGTTTTAGTGTTACACCTATCTGTGTTATCATTTATTAAGTTTACACTTCATGTATCTATAGTATTACTAATGGATAATATCTTAAAGTCTTAACTACAATCTATTACTAATTTAGATTACGGTCAAATCGTAATTTATTTTCTTATTTAATGAACATTTAAAACCACACGTCTTTTCGTCTATTGCATGAAGAGACTCAGGGGTATCCTAGGAAGGCAGTCCTTGAATAATTAACTTAATTAATATATTTAAAAACAAAATTGTTTAAGTAATATTTTCTTAAGAAATTCATTATTTTATTTAAAAAATATTGCAAAAGTATAATTAAGTTTGACTTTGTGAGAAACAAGGCTATCATAAATTTAGGTAATGATCACATCAACAGCCTTTAATAGTCCACTGCTGGACATAGGCTTCTCCTTACAAAAGGAAGGTTAAGTCTAAAATGTTTGCACAACTTTCTAAGAAAATACTTTTGCTCGTTAATAGTTTTTTAAAGTGTGTACATTACGACAGGCCTGTTGGTCTAGTGGTTACTGACCCTGACTGCTAAACCGGAGGTCGTGGGTTCGATTCCCACCCAGGACAAATATTGTGTGATGAGCATGGTCATTTGTTCTGTGTCTGGGTGTAATTTTTCTATAATATATATCAATTTAAAAATATGCAAGTATGTTTATCAGCAGTCTGGTTACCGTAGTACAGGCTCTGACTAGTTTGGGATCAGACGGCCGTGTGTGAGATGTTTGAGATAATAATATTATAGTTATTACTTGTAAGATAACTCAACTATTTACCGGTTTACATTAAATACTAAAATTGTAGAACACCTCTTTGTATACACATATTATATTATTGTCTTATCACAACGGACCAACACTACAAATAATTTAATACACGAGTAGTAGTGAATATTATTAATATCCTTCATTTCTAGGAGCGTTTGTGTCTCAGTGAACATGGAAAACCACCGATATGTGTCATATGTCATAAACATATATGAACCCTGATAAAAACCTGGGTATTCTACAGCTGTTTTATTGTATTTGTATTATTATTTGTATAATTGTATTTTGATTAATGTAGAAGTTTAGTTCTAAATTCAAATTATTTAAATTAACGACTAACAAATAATTCGTATCTTTCGAAAAAAACGGCCAAATGAACTCTTATAAATCACCAAAATTCATAACAATATTTAGTAAATTTTCATCCAAAGAGTTTTCACCTGTATTTAATTAACTACCGAGATCAACCTGTTCACCGCAGTCCGCCTGTTAAACGTTTGGAGTAATAATTGGTAAACAGTAGTCCTATTTCCATTCAAATGTCCATTAAAAGGTTCCAACTTATAATTACATATATTTTATATATTTAAAAGTGACTGCACGGTTGGATAAGTGGTTTAAGCGGTCACCGGTCATACTGCGCTGAGTGTTGTGGGTTATATTCTTACATTTATTTGATCTTGGAAGACCAACAGCTTTACAAATTGATTTAATATTGTATAGGTTACATTCAGCCATTAACAGATCTTCAAGAATAGAACACAGTTCACGATAAGTAATTGTGAGGATTTAGTATTTAAAAGCGATTATAAGTTTAACAAAAGAATCAAGTACAACATCTAATAAAATTAGTATTCTGAAAAGAACTTAAGACTGAGTGCCCGTCTCACCTAATGCTGACTAGTCACAAATATGTATGTCAAGTTCTAATTATTTACATTTTTTGTTAATCATATTGCTCGGTCGACAGAAACGTATCCTGGCGATAGTTCGCGGAGACCAATGGTAGGTGAATGGGAGTGTGGTGTCTCGAGACTTTAGTGGGAACGTTAAAGGTGATTTTTGAAAGTAGATCAGGGCAATCTACACGTCCCGATATTATCCCCAATAGAAACGTAACGTCCGCTATTTCACGCTGTATGCTGAGAGGGAGAATGGGATAACATTTTGTGTGATCTACGAATTGTTGTTCTGAGTCTGCGTGTTCGTGAACGTTTGAATAAATGTTTGAAAAGTCACCACGACAGGATATATTTGTACTTTTTCAAGCCAAAAAAAACTTACAAAAAGTATTATATAATGCACTGGACGTGTTCAAAACTTGGGCATATTAAGTGCACCTAGAATTCGCTAATTGACTGTTAAGTCAAATTAGTTTCTCTCCATTAAACATAAAAGCTAAAATTTCAGTATGTTCTTGTAAAAAATTAGAACTGATGATTTCAATTTTTCCATACCTCACCATATCAATGAATATAACATTACATTATAAATATACCTTATTTCGATAACAGTTGTGTGCCAAACAACAATTCCTCATCCCTCCTAAAGAAGGTTGGCTGAGGAAATGACTCAAGCAATCGATTATCCTGACACCGTAATACTTATGTTATGCGCTCAAAGCCATTTTCTCGTGACGTAACCGTATTCTGCTGGTTATTGATATAATAAAACATAGGTGTATATATTTTAGCTAACATTATGATCGTATGATAAAAGTATTTATTCTTATTTATTATGTTTTCCGGGTGTTCCAGAAGAGCCGCATTTTAAAGCAAAACTTGATGTCTCTTGATAAATTTCCCCGTTGTTGTTTTGTCTCAATCTACAAATACACTTAAGTAATTATCGTTTCTTCCACTTCTTTGCTATTCTTAAACTTTTGCACACGCAATGTTAATATTTAATATATGATCAGTATATACTGGCAGACATCAAAACAATGTTGTGGTATATTTAATAATGCCATTGTATCTATCTGTGAATTGCAAAAGAGTGGCTATGAGTTTGTTTGCCCTTTCTACTCAGAGTCTACATAAAAAGCGATTTCAAACAATTTTAATTTTTTTATGAAATAAAAAGAGTTTGAGTTTATAAGATGATTAGTTTCGCACCCCATTATGTCAAAAATATTGACGCTTAGGACACTCCTCAGTTACAGAACATAATACTCAATGTCATCAGGTACAGAACGCAGAGAAGTAAACTGGGTTATACACAATGCATTACTTTGATTAACTTTCTGTGTGATGACGCAATATAATAGTTGTCATAGCACCGAGTTTAATAACAAATACGAGTAAATTGTATTGTTTATATAAGTTATTTATCATTACCATTCTATTACAAACGAAAATAGACTCTAAAAGTCTATATATTTAATTCAGTTTCTCATAAACGTTATGGTATTTAAAAATCCTAAGAATAATATAAATCAACTGCTTTTTTTATTTATTTAATTATTTGGCTCGCCAACAAACGATACACATTCCTACAATAATTAAAAAATATATAAACACAGGCCCTGTGGTCACGACTAACATAAGCAAAACAATAATTAAAAAAAATAAAGCAAATGAAAACTATTAGGTAAAAAAAGAAATAAAAAGAAAGTGGTTTTTTCATCAAGAATCACATATCACGGACTCTTCGAATCCCATATTACACATAACTTTTTGCTCCCCTCAGCTTAGACTTAAGGTAGTCGATGATTTTTCTCTTAAAATTAGGCAAACTATCTCCAAAAATTCGTTGTAAGACTTCGCCATCCTAGTTAATGGTGAGTTAAGCCCTAGATTAGTCCTATATGTACGTAAACTGAACAGCCTGTAGATACTTGAGCGCGGTAAACTACTTGGGGTTGAGAAATGGATTCATGCTATTATTTCAGCACAATCTGTGTATGTTATTGTTAAGAACGTTGTACAAGAATGAAAGATCAAGAAGTTTGCGTCTATCATTAAGTGACATTAAATTAAAGTGTTTTAAGCGAGCATAATATTAATTTATTGTTCTACGAAATTCTGTATTATACGTAAGATACTCGTAACTAAGGAACCTTCGTTGTGTTCGTTCAAGACGATTTTTGTGGCATTGGTAATGTGGAGAACACACCTTCTTTTTTTTTCTGTGCAGTACTCCCCTCGGATACCACCCACCAGTGGGTCTCCAGGTACCAGTAGCCGGGGAACCAGGTATACCCTAGAAAGGAAAGCCCTAGTACCCCGACGTACCTCAGGCCATCTACGGCTTATAGATGACCCCTCCTGATAACACATCTAAAAGCAATATTCTAGTATACTGCGAACCAAAACATTAAATAGAAGTAACCTAGTTTTTGGTAGCCTAAAAGTTGCAGTATTTCTAGATATGAATCCAAATATTTTAGACGCATTAAGTACTATCCTATCCAGATGCGCATTAAATGTCAATCGATTGTCTATCAAAACCCCCAAACCTCGTATACACTCGACTTCCTTAAGTGGTTGATTATTAATGGAGTATGGTACCTTTGTTTTACTCCTATTGAAGGAAATATGATTACATATTTTGTCAAGCTCACAACATTTAACGAGGCGGTCAATATCTTCCTGAACCAGGTTTACCAATCATCGTGAAATTTTAAATGGACACATGTATATTATCAGAGTTCAGAAATAAACGTAGGTATAATTTTTATCATGAAAACAATAACAATAGGAGGAGGAGGTGGATAGACAGGCCAGGTGGAGTGACGATTTGCGCAAGATGGCTGGCAGGAGCTGGATTCGAGAAGCCCAAAATCGATCTAAGTGGCGTGCAATGGGAGAGGCCTATGTCCAGCAGTGGACTGCGATAGGCTGATGATGATGATGATGATGATGAATAACAATAGGGAAAAAAACTAAAATTTAAAATTTTTGGTTATTTTTGCATTTTAGTTAGTCAGATTATCCATACAATTTTTGTTGGTAGTTTGTATAACTTTTTAATATAGAAGTCTGATGGGACGCGATGAAGTAAGCGAAAGCGTTTTGTACTGCTTGTCGGGTGTTGAACTTTTTCCCACTTAAGAAAATATCTAAATTTTCTAAAGTAGAAATCTGTTGGGGCAATTTCCGGTGAGTACAGTGGGTGACGCGTAGCTTCCAGATGTAACTCTTATGGTAGTCGTATAGGATCCACTTTTCATCGCAGGTTTCAATTCGATTCAGAATTCTGTCGTTTCTATGCCAATTCAATAGTGCTATGCATTTTTCGACGCGTATGTCTCGCTGATAGTCGGTTAATTCATGTGGGATCCACATTTTTAGCTTTTTATCTTGTCGATTTGACGCAATGTTGATTTGACACTAACTTCAAAGCCCGCAGCAAGCTCAGTTGTAGATTGAGTTGGATCTGCTTCCACTATCGCCTTGAATGGAATCAGAATTCAATCAGATCTAAAACGATTGAACCAATAATGGACCGTATTTATGGAAGTTGTTTCGTGTTAGTAATGTTTCGTGTTATTTGCGTAGCGGTATTATAAAGTAGGAACCCATATTCGAAAATTATATGATTTTTCAGTTTATCCATGGCGCGAAAAACTTAAATTAAACTTAATTAAAATAACAAACCAAAACCCCCTTTCTAAGGAGAGGCCTATGTCCAGCAGTGGACTATCAAAGGCTGCTGATGAAAATAACATGGATTTCGAATAAAGTTGATTTGAATTTAGAATTGCGCGATAATCCACAGATAATTAAATCTGAAAATGCTGGTTTTAAAATCCCCAACTTCATAGGTAAAGACCTATTATTACGGTTAAGGATTTGTTACATGTTAGAACAAGTAAATTTTTGATCTATTAAGGGTGATTTAATGGTGGTTAAAGGTGGTTTATTGGAAAATAAACCAAACCTTCAACAGAAAACCTCCGGTAACGCATTTGTGAGCCCTGAGTTGCAGACGTCTATGGACAGAGGTAGTCACTTTTAATCAGGGGACCCATCTGCTCGTTATTATAAAAACTAAGAACTTAACCTACAAAGATTCGATTATGGATATATAAGCATCGTATCTTTGTATAGATAAACTAAAAAAAAAATGTTTTCAGCAAGCGAAGGTCCTGGTAAAAGCTTGTATTTTACATTCTAACAATGTACTTCAAACTAGCTGAGGTACTGTATTCTGAAACTCATTTCCTTTTAACAGTCATAAATGTCACCGTTGAATATGATACCCGTTCTAAACTACCATTACTACGCACTATGGCTGCGTTTATAGTCTCGAGTTCATTACACAGCATTATATAACTTCGTTCCTATAATATTCGTGTAACAAAGTGATCTGAGTATGAAAGGAAACTTAAGAGAACCATAACACCTTGGAGTTATTTCATTACGTACTTATTTAAAAAAATAAGTTTTAATGAATATTTGCAATAATTACAATATTTATATACAAGCATCAAAAAATCCTCTGCATCATCGCCTACGAGTAGCGTTCCCAGAAGACTGGCAGCATTGCCACGTTGAATGGCAATGCTAATTCTCTGTGCTAGAAAAAGGCCGACTTTCTGATCACGAGAAGTGTCAAACAGTTCCTTAGCTAGTTGTTTACACGTAGAACGAATACTCGGACCACATGACCCTAGGGTCATGTAGTCCGAGATTTCGAGGTAGCACGACTACTCGGACCACATGACCCTCTAGGGTCGTGTGGTCCGAGTATTCGTGCTACCTCGCCTCGCCTCGTCTCGAACCCAAACGGTTCAAAATAATATAATTTATTATTATACCTCTAGATTATTCATCTAACTACTATTTATGTATAGGTATTTTTACTTTATTAATTGACATATTGTTATTATCTTAACTATATGACCTTATGTATGTAACGTTACAGAGAATATACTGTAGTTTTAATAAAAGAGGTTATTAGAACTATTTTTGTAAAATAATTTATTGTTGCAGCGAATGGGAGTAGTCCACGGCGAGGAGTTACCGTATGTTTTTGGTGCGCCTTTAGTGGGTGGATTTGGCCACTTTCCGCAAAACTACACTAAGTCTGAAGTCGCTTTGTCGGAGTCTATTATGATGTGTTTAGCCAACTTTGTGAAGTCTGGGTGAGTATTTTGCACAAAGGCGTTTAGAATCACGTACCCTGTCTATTATTATAAACACGAATCTGGGTTCATTTGCTACACTTTCACATCTTATTGATAATTATGAATTTTTTACATACTCTGAATGGATAAAATGAGAATATCTGTGAGGTTTGCTTCTTTTATGGTCACCTGAAGGCCAATTCTCGAAATAAAAGTTCGGTCTCAATTCAGTTCCAATCAACTTTTGATCTCACAACTTTCATAAAAGGTATTTTCGTAGTAAAGTATTAAATATCCCACGTAATGTATGTAATGTGACTGCAATGTAATTATATCGTATTGTAACCGAAAATTGAATCTTTAATCTGCTAGTCTTAGTAATACATTACCTTTTTACTATCAAAATACCTTTTATGATAGTTGTGAGATCGAAAGTTGATTTTAACTGGATTGTGACCGAACTTTTATTACGAGAATTGGCCTTCTGATAGGAAGGGACTACGGATGCCCACGGACACAACTTAAGAGTCATAAGTCCATTGCCGTCTTTTGAGTCTTCAAGAGAATCATGGGGAGAAGGAGGTTTTTTAATTTTCTTTGAGGTTTTCACCGGTTTTCTTTGAGGCCACAGAAGCAAAGCGCAAAGCTTGTTACTAACTTATTATATTAAGTTAGTAAGTTATAATACTCGTAAGTTATTTTACTTACTTTCCGCTTTTCACGAAACTTTACCTTTTTTTTTTTTTTTTTTTTTTAACGTGTGGAAATCCCCTCGGACCGTCACCCCTCCGGGGTTTACGGCGGGGTGGTGTGTCGGACTCGGACCGACTAAAACCACACGGTGTGCCACTCTGCGCCTGTAACAGGAGGGATCCGGGAACAGCTGTTGTTAAGACATCCGGACCCCTCCTAGCGCCAGCCCGCTCCTGGTGCGGGCTCCGTCTCGATGTTTTCCTCTCTTTTTAGGCGACGTCCGGCACACGCGGACGCCGCCCCCTCGCGGCTGGCCAAACTAATGCGGGTGGAGGGGAAACCCACCCCGTCCACCCGCGGCCACACTCAGGGCGGCATGAGGCTGTGGTAGGCGGGCCTCCGCCGCCCGGTTCGCCGGCGGCGGATCGGGTCCGAGTGGAGGTCGTCCTCCCGGGCCCTCTCCGCCGCCTCCTTCCGCGAGATTACTACCTCGCAGAAGGTTGCGACCGCGGTAAAACAACTGTCGCTACCGGCCATGGAGCGTACTACGGCCGGTAGCGAGAGATCCACTCCGATGACTGCAGTGAGGGCCCGGCGCTGCGCCGCCCATGCGGGGCAGACCGCCAGCGTGTGCTGGGCCGAGTCCTCACTGCAGTCGCAGTGGTGGCAGGCGGGACTCAGTTCCCTCCTAGCGACCGTGTGCAGGTACTTTCCGAAGCAACCATGCCCGGAAAGCATCTGCGTCAGCCGGAAGGAAAGGGTCCCGTGCTGCCGCCCTGCCCACTCGGCGATAACCGGCTGGAGAGCCTCCACGGCGGCGAAGCCAGCGCGTGGAGTCTCCAGCCGGAACGACCAACGAGCCATCGTGGCTCGGCGAGCGGCTTCGCGCCACTCGCGCACATCCTCGGGCGGAGGGCGAAATCCGCTCTCCGCCCGGAAGTCAGCCACTCGCCGATAAACTTCGGCGAGCACTTCCGCCTCCAAATCCCACGGGGGAGTTCCGGCCAACGCGCATGCCACCTCCGTAGAAACGGTGCGGTAACCGCGTATGGCTCTGACCGCCATTACCCTCTGAGGGCGCCAGAGGCGTACCCTATTCTGGGCGGTCAGAGCCGCCGCCCACACCGGTGCACCGTACAGTGCCATTGACCGGACAACCCCCGTGTACAGCCGTCTTGTCGCGACGCTGGGTCCACCCATATTGGGCAAAAGTCGCCCTAGGGCAGACGCAGCGCCGACCAGCTTTGGAGCAAGCTGTCGGAAGTGCTCGTCGAAGAGCCACCTCCCGTCGAGGATCAGGCCCAGATATTTCATCTGGGCCCGAACCGGTACGAGGACCGAGTTGACCACGATTGAGGCGCCAGGGGGTGGACCACGACGGGGCCCATGGAATAACAGGGCCTCCGTCTTATCTAGGGCTACCCGTAAGCCCAGCGCCTCAATGCGCCCGACCACCAGGGAGACTCCCCCTGTGGCCAGGCGCGCCGCCTCTTGGAAGTTTGCCCCCCGGGCTGTCACGAGGGTATCGTCTGCGTAACAGATTACACCCAGCCCGGGGGGGAAATCGGCGCGAAGGGCCCAGTCGTACCCTATGTTCCACAAGAGGGGTCCAAGAACAGACCCTGTGGAACACCGCACGACATGGGCCGACACCTCAGATTACCTTCTCGGTCCTCGTACACGACGGTACGCTCCTCTAAATAGTCTGCCACCAGCCGCCTCAGGTACTTTGGCACCCCATGATAGTGGAGTGCTTCCCTGATGCAGCTGAATGGCAGACTATTGAATGCGTTGGCGATGTCCAGTGACACCGCCAACAGCACGCCGCCACAGCTCACGGCCTCTTCGGTCACGGCCCTCAGGCGCAACACGGCGTCGACCGTCGAACGCCCCGCCCGAAAACCACACAGATCGGGGCCCACCTCGCAGAGGTGCCGGACGATGCGGGCAGAAAGAACCCTCTCAAACAATTTGCCCGCCTCGTCCAGCAGCACGATGGGCCTATAGGCCGCGACCGAATCGGCAGGCCGTCCCGGCTTCCTCAATAGGACCAGCTTCCCGCTCTTCCAGCACTCAGGGAAGCGTCCCGACGCCAAGCTAGCGTCGAACACCTCCCCGAGGCGGTCTGCCATGTGGTTGAGGGCCAAGGCCAGCACTCGGGCCGGTACCCCGTCTGGCCCAGGGGCGGTGTTCTTGGAACGAATCCGTAGAACAGCCGCCCCTACCTCCGAATCCCGGACGGGCGGAACATTGTCCTCCCCGTGCTCCCCGTCGTCTCCGGCCAGGGAGGCCATCGACGGGGGAGTGTGTTCCGCTCGTTGTGGGAAAAGGCCCTCAACCACTTCTCGCAGGAAGCTGGGCTGGAGAGTCTCCGTAAGGGGGGGGCCCGACGCGCGGAGCTTTTGTCGCACCGCGCGGTAAGGGCGACCCCAGGGGTCACGATTAAGACCCTCCAGCATCTCCTGTCTTTTTTCTTCTTTGGCGCGGCTAATGGCCAGCTTCAGAGTTTTCCGCGCCCGTCGGTACTCCTCATGAAGCCGGTCCTCCTCACCGTCTCCACGGTGACGCCGCCGACTGCGCGTGTAGGACCTCCGGGCACGTGTACAGGCCGCACGGAGGTCCGCCAGCTCCTGGGACCACCAGTAGACCTCCTTCCTTGGAGGCCGACGACCTCGAACGCGGGGCATGACCGCATCGCATACATGCGTAATCGCATCGCGAAAGCGGCCAGCCCCCACGTCGACCTCCTCGGTCGGAGCCTGAGGAGACAGCCACGAGTGAATTATGGCTGCCTCCTCTAGTAGGTCCCGGTTCAGCCTGGCAACAGCCCACCGCGGAAAGCGGGATAAACGCCGCGCCACGTGACCCCTCACGAAACTTTACCTCGCACAACCAATCTTTTGAACAAACTGTCGCCTGTGGTATTTCCGATACGATTTCCAAACCTTTTAGGAAAGATTGTGCTCCCGTCTCAAAGACCGGTAATGTGCTTGTGACTTCTGAGTTGTAGACGTTCAAGAACGGCGCTTGTCACTTTCTATTAGGTGACCCATCTGCGCGTTTCCCAATTTTATCATATATTTTTTTATTATTATTTTATGTAATATATTGTCGTGTTTTATTAATATACTGAATAATAACTTTAAAGATCCATTGTTCTATAAACCGGTCGTGACATTAAAAATAGTCTTCAAATTTTCACGCCCCCTTTAAAATTTTAAGACATGTCACTGAGGACGTGCACAAACGCCAGTCACCTTTAATAACGTCAAATATTTATGAGAAATAAGTCGGCTTTAAGCATTATAAACGCCATCGTAATATGAATCTTATAAATATAAGTATAAAGACTACTTTGTGATTCCATCATTTATTCGAAACTGCTTAATAGGTCCTCAAAGTTTTTGGAAGTTACAAACAAGTGTAAATTTTCTATAGCAGGCATTAAGGTTGTATTTACTTTGATGTTCTTCCATAAGTATGCCTTTGAAAGTCGCATTACGTTTATGTCTAACTTTAGTTAAGTATTTTATGTTTTTAAATGTTATGTGGGAGTGTTATCTTTTCAAATATATGGTGATATTAAGAGGGGCACTAGAAGCTCTGAGCTAAAAGGTCATTAGAGCCATCCAACCAGCACCGCCTCGCCTCGAGCGCCTAGTATTCTTTGTATGGAGTACTATGGGTACTCAATTCATGAACTCCGGAGCGCCTCGCTCGCGGGTTCACCACGTGTGGTCGGCGAGTGGACCATTCGGTGACCGCGTGCTGTCGGCGAGAGCAGACACCGAGCTATGACCTTAAAACTCTTAAGTTAATACTTAAGTTCAAACTGGAAAATATTTTAGCATAAATGTATTTTACGATTCGTCTTTCAATATCTATATTTACCAGCTTTATTTATCAGAAGGGTTGTGTTTTTAGAGTGTGTATGTAAATTCTTTGACACGCTCTGTAGTCTAAACATTTCTTGACTTGGGATATGTTTTAAAAGGATTTCACGGAAGCTTTGGCCAGAGAAAACAATTCAGTTGTTTTTTTTTGAGCAACTTTTAATTGGTTTTACATAACGGTTGTGTTCTTTGTTCGGTGAATAAATTTCAAGAGTAGTTAAAGCTATGTGCGTTATAACAGACGACCGTCTAAATACTAATTTTAAATGAATATCTGTTTTTGTTTACAGAACTAAACGTATAAAAAGAATCTTTTATTCGTCCATAAGGCATTGTAAATAACTCAGACTCTAAAGTGATTTATTTTGATTTCCTCTGACCGTTTAGGCTATATATTATTATTATACACTATTATATTTGGTCTGGCTATTTATTAACAATAGTATAAAGTAAAATTGTTTTGAAGTTTCTAAATTGTTTTTTTATACAAATATAATTAGTATAAAAATTGTTGTATGTCCGAAATATTTTAAATTTATATTATTTGACGGGAATTAACGCGATCTCTTATTTAGGGTATTACATACCTCTGGTTTGCCTGACGTTTCGACCAGGTTGCACCGGCCGTGGTCACAGGCTGACTGGCTCATCGGCGCACGCCCTCCGTCGTCGAATCCGTGAAGTAGAAGGCTCTTCATCTACCCGCACATTTTCGATATTATTTTTGTGTTGCCATGTACCGTCACATACCACACTAACAGTGTCCCTATTCTGTAAGCAAACCGATGAGTCCCTATTCTGGTGTTTAACCGATTGCGCAGAAAAGCGAGGTGGTATGTTTTTTAACACTGGATTCCACGCTGTAGATAATTTAAAACCATCTTCCCGATTGAAAGTTTTATGCTTTTTAATCTCAATCGCTTCACGTACAACTCTTGAGTAAAAGTGACGTTCGGTGGAGAGGACTTGCGTGCGGTGAAATTCAATCCAGTGGTTGATGCCTGCATCGAGTGCATGTTCTGCAATCGCTGATTTGCTCGTCTGTCGGTTCTTCACAGCAGCGATATGCTCTTTGACCCTTTCTGCAATAGTCCGCTTAGTTTGGCCTATGTATGAGCTTCCGCAGCTGCAGTCTATTTTATAAACACCCGGAGTTTGTAGTGGCAATGTATCCTTCGGTGTGCCGACGATGTTGTGAACCTTTATGCCTGGTGTGTATACTGTCGGAATGGAATATTTCTTTAGTACAGACCCGATCTTGTCCGTAACTCCCTTGACATAAGGCATATAGGCCGGTTGCCTGTTCACTTCTGGATACTTGCGTCTTATTTTCGGTTGCTTCCGTCCTCCTTTCACTTGATATCCGTTACCTTTGAGTACCTCCTGAACATGTTTTAGTTCCTGTTCTAAATGTTCAGGGTCACAGAGATCGTAAGCTCTGTTTTTGAGTGAAGTCATAACAGATTGCAAGTGCCGGGGGTGATGATGAGACGTGGCGTGTAGGTATCTGTCCGTATGAGTAGGTTTACGGTACACACAGTGTGACAAGGACCCATCCGATCTCACGGCTACTTTAACATCTAAGAAAGACAACGACCTGTCCGTCTCCATTTCATATGTAAACCTCATTTTGGGGTGAATAGAGTTCAGATGTTGTATATATTGATCCACTTCTTGTTTGTTTCCTTTGACGATACTGAAAATGTCATCCACGTATCGCTTCCATAGCTTAACGGTATTCGGGCCGAGATTTAAAGCCTTCTCTTCAAAATGTTCCATCCAGATGTTGGCCAGTACTGGGGCTACAGGACTTCCCATCGCGACACCATCAATCTGGAGGTAATGTTGACCTTGGAAAAGGAAATAGTTGCCTTCTAAACAGTGTTCAAGTAGATCCATATAGTTTAAGGGCAGCTCGTTGTCTCTCAGTAGGTCTTTTACGACGTTTAGGCACTCCTTTATTGGAACATTGGTGAAAAGCGACTCCACGTCAAAGCTCACCATGACGTCATCCGGTTCCAACGTCAGATCTTTTATGATTTGTATGAAGTGCCGTGAGTCTTTCACAAAAGACGGTGTTTTGCCTATAAGTGGTTGCAATACTGAAGCAACGTGCTTCCCGTCAAATAATATTAATTATCATGGAACGCGAAAGTTTAAAAGTTACTATATTTTAAATTTCCTTATTTATAATTTCAATATGGTTGTCCATTCTTTAGCTATATTTTTTTAACATGTTATTCAGTTTGAACAACTCTTATAGAAATATGATTAGAAAGTGATATTTAGAAAGATTTAATTTTTTGAAAGATTCAGATTCAAGACAAAGTCTTGTTCTATGATTTTTTCTTAAACGATCACAAATTGTTAAAATAAATAGGAATATATATATAGTATTTAGTTACTAACAAGACTAATGACCACCTCCCTGAGTGTTGTGGGTTCGATCCCCACATAGAACTACACTTTGTGTGATCTACAAATTGTTGTTCTGAGTCTGGGCATTCTTTGTGCCTCTTCGATAAATGTTTATGAAGTCTCGCTCGATACAAAGTATATTCCTAGTTCGGGAGTTGTAAAAAACAACAGATTTTTTTTATAAAAAACTTTGCGACGCTTGTAATAAATTCGGCAACCTAACAGTAAACCTTCTGTTTATATTCCTCGAGGTAGCCTCTTCTTCAGTAACCGTTATTGTAAATTTTCGTACTGATTATAACCCAAGGGAAAAACAAACATAGTACTTTGGTTTATTACACGAACGTTCTTGTTTTCAGAAACCCAAACGACAATGTACGACAGGAGGCCCTGCTGCCAGCGTCGAGGGAGAGAAATAAATTTAGAGGGATAAACTGGGAAGAATATGACTCAACACACCAGAAATATTTAGAAATAGGTCGGTTTTATAATAGTTTATCATATGAACTTTTAAATTATCGCGTTCCAGGAAATTAATGCGCTCACGATGGGTAGTGAGGGGATATTAAGCATTTAAGTGTATGTGTATATAAGGTATTAAGTGATATCTTTTAATTGCTTTCATGTGCTTTAAATGCACATGTGTTTAATACCTGTCGTGAGTGCGTTGCGTCCCGTGAACATGAATATAAATAGATAGATAGATAGAAAAATCTTTATTTGTACTCCGTTTTACACAGTTTTGTCATTCAACATGCAATCATTATTGTTTATCATTATATTGTAAATCATTGACAGTATTGAACATTATTCTGTTTGTTGCTTTCCCTATAAAGTAACTTAAAGCTACTATCAAGGTTACAATAAATCAACGCTACATTGTTTATTGTTTATAAATATTGAATAGATGAAGAAACAGATTATAATACAACAGTGCAGTTATTTTAATGTCTCATCAAAACTTCTGAGGGACTAACGTAGGTCCCTCAGAAGACTAACGTAGGTCTTTATTTTTATTTGATTGATAATACAAACGTATATAATAATACTTTAGCTAATGATGTTCCTCTCCATAAATACATGGTTCTTGAGTGTGTAGCCTTTCTCCGAATAAACAGTTATCCCAGAGATCGTGACGGGCATAAGAGCAACTCCTATGAGAAGACCGTTAACAGTTTTACAATTTTCACTTTCTTTAAATAAATCTTTAAATAAACTTTGATCTTTAAATAAATTTAAGCTGTTTATAAATTTATATCTGACTATTATTAAAATGTAACTACAGACTTCTTGAACTTAAAAAAATAATAAAAATATAATGGAATCTTAATTTTGATGCTGTTAAATAGTATAAATTGCATATAAAATGATAGGTGATTGTTTAATATTATTACTTGTCCTCACTTTGGTGCCTTCTCTATTATAAATAAATATCTTTGATACGTCATTATTTGGTATCGCATGCAATAAATATATTATGGTTAATATATTTATTGCATGCGTCATTTTCATCCAACCTCACACACCCATTATCAGATAAATTGTGTTGAGTTTAGTATTGCTCTGGGTTTGTTGACTACATGTTTGTTTTCCTAAATAAAAAGGGACAGACTTTGAAGATTGTCAGTAGAAAGATCATTGTTTTGTCAGCATCATTAAATAAATTTAAGTATTGCAGAATATTTAGGAAAACAAATTCAATTTCTGTACATCATCATCATCATCAGCCTATCGCAGTCCACTGCTGGACATAGGCCTCTCTCATTGCACGCCTCTTAGATCGATTTTGGGCTTCTCGCATCCAGCTTCTGCCATCCATCGTGCGCAAATCATAACTCTACCTGGCCTGAGACGCAGTCTCCACTCAAGAACATAATTTTATTCATACCGATAAACTTTTCACTAGTTACAGACTAATACTATTTTGTTAAAACAGGTATGAAGCCTCGCCTCAAAAACCATTATCGCGCCCATCAACTTTCCGTTTGGCTGCGCTTAGTTCCCGAATTACACAGAGCCGGAATGGAGGACGTAGCCGCACGACATAACCTATTCAAAAACCACAACGAACAAGAACTTTACGAGGGTATAGTTAGACCGGATCCATTGGCGAGGAATGTCAATGATAATGACCCGATCAGGCGAACAAACGGTTCAGTGTATACTGATACAGCCCTAACGACCGTAGATACGATACTAGCAACCTGTGCCACAATATTGCCGGGAAGAGATCTGCAAACATTGAACGCGACTGAAAATTCTTTGGCTAATTTGGAGGCAGCTGGTTACGCAGCGTACTCAACTGCACTCAGCGTTACAATAGCTATTGGATGTTCACTACTCATCTTGAATGTACTCATTTTTGCTGGTGTTTATTATCAGAGAGATAAATCTAGGTCAAGAACTAAACAGACGAGGTTTAATGAAAAACATTTTGAAACAATCTCTGGTAAACATTCACACTATCACATTGATCCCACACACGCTCCAAGTTTGGTAGTTGATGTTGAACGGCAGAATAGAAAGAAACACAATATGATGAATACTGATCAACATTTAGCAAATTTAAATTTCAAGGGTCCATTGGATGTCCCAAAATCGCCACCTAGTCCAACGCTTAGTATGGACAACGTCATGCTACCGAGCAAACTCGGGAGTAGAAGCAACAGTTTTCGAATACCTAACGTGAGTTATACACAGATGGGTTACGCGACTATGCCAAAGAATTTGAGTCAGTATAATACCTCGCCGCCTTTACAAGAGTTACGGCACCAGAAATGCCAGCCTCCGAACGGATCGACGGGGAACTCTCCGGGGAGGGAGGGGGAGGTGAGGGGGCCCCACGCTACCCTCCGACGGGGAAAAGCCTCCCTTCATTCTAGCCTCCCGCAAGCAGCCATTGATGAAATGAGAGTGTGATAGATAATTCCATCTGACTTTAAATTACAACATTAAATTTGTGCGTGTATGTGTGTTTAATTGTCATGATTGTAAATAGCTATTATAATAAAGAGGGAGAGTCTTTTTTTAGAAATGTTATCGATTGTTTCCGAACTTGGAATATGATTATGGAATAAATTGAATTATATCATACCATGTTGATTTATTGACAGTGTACCCTCAAAAAAATCATGAGATACTAAATTTAATTATTTATATTGCTGTTTAAGCTGTTTTGAAATATTAGATATTGGTAATAAAATAATAGACGACCGGATGGCGTAGTAGTTTGTGTAACGGACTGCTATTGCAAAGGTCTCAGGTTCAATTCCCGCTCAAGTCAAACATTTATATGCATGAACATTTAATGTTTGATTTGGTCTGGGTGTTTCTATGTATGTATTTACAGAAAAAAAAGTATATATATTATGTATTTATATCAGTTGTCTAGTACCCGTAGTACAAGCTCTGCTTAGTTTATGACTAGATGGCGTAGTGTGAATGGAGGGGAATATTATTATTACTATTATCATAGTCTGTGCAATTTCACCATCAATCTGGCTTAAATTCAATGTTTCCATCAGTGTTTTTCTTGTATTCGGTTCTAGACACATTGCATTAGCACATGTTGTACATCCTCTTATCCTCCACATACGTTGCAATTGGGAGAATTTTTCTTTTTCATTGGGTATACGAAATTATTCAACGGAATGTTTCCAGATCCTAGTCTCAATAACATTTTTATTTGGTTTCGATTAATGTTGCATCCTCTAAAATATAGTATACAAAACAGCTAAGCAGTGACAATTTTAAATTGTCGATTGTAATTTTAGTCGAGTTTACGTTATAGAAGACAAGCGTATTACATCTATATTTCTAAATAAACATACTTAGATGTCTCTAGAATACATACATACATATTTTACATAAATTACACCCAGACACAACAAATGATCGTGCTCATCACACAATATTTGTCCAATCAAGGACCGTTGAATGAGTATTCAAGATCAATAACCACTCGACCAACAGGCACGTTACAAAAAGTTATTTTATTTATTCAATAGGTTTATATACAAAATCTACTGGTGCAAATTCGATATAACCTCACTGGTATAAATGCGAATAATCCTTAATAAAAACTTCTTGTGTACTGGTAACGAAGTTTAATAAATTACTAAGATTTAATAAGTATTCTGAAGTTTTAAGCTTCTTACTGATGAATTAGTTAATTGTGGACCTAAAAAGTTCTTTTGAGGGTTGTTGTAATTAATTTTAACGTAATCTTATAAAATATTTACTACACGCTTTATTAGTACGTTTTTTATTACAACACAATAGTATTAATCTATTTTAAAACATTAGTAAAACAAATAATGTCCAAACTCCGTCATATATGTACGGATTTTCAAATATATTTTTTTGTTTGAAAGGGGTTTATTCAGGCTAGTGAGCCGGAAGAGTGCCACCTGGTCCCACTTCGCCCTGCAGGAGGAGTAAGTAAATTTCGTACCATGGTCGCAACTCAGTCATGCCTCCGTCCAGCGAGTATGCCTCTGCTTCATACACGCTGGATATTCTGGCAGCGTGTAAAGCGTTATGACCACCCTCTGGACATGGTAGTGGCAGCACCCTGGCGCTGGCTCTTTGCGAATCAGACACAAGGGACCTCCAAAGCGTTCTTTGCGTCAGCCAATATCAGAGGGTCCCGTGTTTCCTATCGAGCCAATCCTCCATAACGTGTCTTATCGTCGCAATAACAGCGTGCCAGAATTAAGCTGCCCCATAAAACTTTCGCCGGGTATGGGATATTTGGAAACCCTGCGCCCGTATCTTGTGTGATTCAAATTATACATACATACTTACGTTTCATCATCATCACGATCAACAGCCCTTAACACTCCACTGCTGAACATAGGCCTCTCCTTAAAATGGAGGTTTTGGCCTTCTATACCAAGCTGGCCAGACGGGTTGATATAGGGTTAGTTTCAAGTTTTCCTTCTTTTTGCAGTGCTGTTGTTTTGCACAGTTTACTCCCTAAGTCGGCTCTTACAACACCCACGGGATGAATAGGGGTGGTGACACTCTGCATTCTTAATCCATCATACATTTAATAAAGTAATTCAAATCCATATCCCTATTAACATTGCATTTATTTTCGTACACTGATCAATAGATGTCACTATGATAAGATAAAAATACATTGGACATGCAAATTATGAAAAAGTTTCGTTTTCGTTTCGATTTCTGTTTTTGCCGCCCTCTCGAAAATTCCGCCCGTGTGCGGTGACGCTCTGCGCACCCGTGCCTGGCGGCCCCGAGGCAGCGCTTTTCAAATTCTACGCGAACGAAGTCGCGGACACCAGCTAGTTTCATACATATTTTTTACATTGATTCATAATATAATATAAGCAGTTCGGTTGTGGAACACCCTACCGGTCGCAATCAGACGGGCACAATCACTTGCCTCCTTTAAGAAACAAGTGAAAGACTGGAAGACTGAAAGAAACTGGAAGACGGCAACGTCAATTAACTTCTTCTAAGTCGACAAGGTCACACTTTTTCTGATAATATATGTATTTATAACTTATAAATCGTCGTATCTAATTACATGTATCTAATAACACCATATTTTCCCCCTAGTATGTTATATATTCACCTAAGGTCAACAAATAGATATTATGTGTAATTATCACTTTTTATAGTTATGTATATACTACTTTCATTTCTTCTTCTTATTCTTCTTTAATAACACACCAGCAACTACCCAATACCTCCTCCTCTTCATGTTTTCTCTCCATACCACGGTTGCCTGTAAGAGATTGCCTCTGGGCGATAAGGCCGCCACTTGTACTGAACTAGTTTAAGGTAATTATGTATATTTATATCTGGTGTATAATAAAGTGATATATTATTATTAGCGAGGTGAAGACCTCGCTAATATAAGTCAATGTAAGAAATTCTTTTATTGGTATTGTACAATATATCATTGCCTCGGTGGTGCAGTGGTAGCGTATGCGACTGCTGTGCTGGGGTCTCGGGTTGGATTCCCAGGTCGGCTCAAATGTTTGTATGATCTGCAAATATTTGTTTCGGAGTTTGGCTGTTTTCTACGTATAATATGTAAATATTTACAAAAAAAATATTATATATATAAGTATTTGATCTACCAATCTAGTTTTCATAGTACAAGCTCTGCTTAGCTTGAAAGTAGATGGCGTTGTATGTCAGATGTCCGAAAATATTAATTATTTATTTTTATATATGTCACAAGTTGATATAAATAATAACTATTTGGCAAATGAATGTAATTTTTCTCATAACATTTTTAAACTGGAACTGAAAGCTCGTCTTACATATCTACATAGGTCAGGATTATAAAAAAAACAGAACGTATTTGCCTTTTAGTACTTTTCCTTACTTCATGTACCTTACAGTCCAATATGCAACAAACATAGCATATTTAGAATACGCTTTAGGCATTCTCTCGCATACACTACTACAAATTCTTTACAGGAAACCGATCTGGCTGTATAGTATACTGAACAAATGTTCAGATTCAGTATTCTTATACAACGTACTGTTACGACGCCGACTGGTTTGCAGGTATGCGCTAGAAAGAGCTTTAGAAATCCAGTAAACTCATTTTGCCGAGTGTTCATAGCAAAACGAATTTTACAAGTGTTTCTTTAAATTTACTCCTGATATATGCACTCCTGGAATTGTAAATATTATGTTTACAAAGTCAATTAGGAACCTCAGACCTCGTAATCTATTTTAGCTTAATCGTGGTTTTTTGAATTTAGAAAATTTTGTTAGTAGAACTTTACACCAAATTCCAATCTAAAGAAAGACAAAAACAAAAAAAGAAAGAAAGACATATATTCTATTTTGTATTCATACAGATGATATTTCTAGAAAGTATAAAGCAAAAAAATAACGACGATTAACTAATAAACAAAATATAAATCGATTATATAACAAAACAAATAATTATCTTTGCTTAAAAAAGAAAAACATCATCAAAAACAGAAATATGCCTACAATGCAACAGATCTTAGTCAACTTTATAGAAAAAAAATCGGTTGTCTGTAAAGTCGGTTTACTGACGATAGTTGAACGTGACAACGTCATAAGAAAATACTGATGGAATGGTTGCATTTTACGAAAACATGTAAATGTATTATTGGATAGCAGCTGTCCACGCGGACGCATCGCTCACTCAAGTAGGAGAGAGACAGATGTCAAACGCTGCCGAACGCGGAGGCCGATTGTGCCTCTTTGTCGCTCGTTCCGCGCTCTCGCTTGCACTTCAAGCCTTAAATGGAACGCCTCAGAGCGAGGTAACGCCGCATGAGTCATCTTTTTTCGTGCGTGCAGCCGGCTCCATCGAATTATAAGACGTTGTCACGTCAAAACTTGCTTTTGAGGTCTTTGAATATTATCACTTCCCTCTAACATACAAAAAGATATTATTAAGTTTGAGCCACTATCGAGTAATTAATTTTTACGATAGAAAAGTAGCTAAACGGGCATCTCAAATAAATTTATCTAAATTCTCCTATCTGAACTCTCCTTATAAATAGCCATTTAACAGAAAATATTTAGTCTTAATACACCTTTTTTTCTATATATCATGCTATTGGCAGTATTTATTTATTAAATAAAAAGTTTATTGGTAATTTTAGTAAAGCTACGTCAATCTGACTTCTGAATTCATCTGAATAATGTTCAATATTTATGTCAAATAAGTATATAACAAATGTTAAAGATTCAAAGTTTTCCTTAACTATTCCCGGGTAGGGGCCACCGATAAACAGAGCCATAAACATCTTAACATCTTTGTGGAGTTAGTGACAGTCGTTAAACATGGAACGCACAACGCGGTTCCAAGATGATCCAGATTCAATATGACGTAATTATTATGTCCATTATATATTGCATGTATTGATGATTTAATTATAGAGCAAAATAAAATA